TAATAACAGCCAGGGCATTATGTAGTTTTCAGTTTTCTATGATTTACTTATTGTCTTATCAATTTCTGAATGTATGCTAAAAAGTGAATATAAAACCCACTTCATGCTGGAAGGTGGGGCAGATTGGATTTTTTATTACGAATGAAATATTGAAAGAGTTTTCTATGTCATTTTAGTGCCTCTCTCTTACGAGATTGTTTAGCCTTTGTTTTGAATTTTTATGTATCTCCTTACACTGGGAGATAGTGGATCCTATATTTTAGTTTTCATTTCTTTTCACTTTCACTCTGCATCAATCGCCCACACAGAAAGACAAAGAAGTGAGGTTACAAACATATTAATGCCATTATATTGACCTCATAAATTGGTGAAAGGTGAAATAGTTCACTACTTCCGTAGTTCAAAACTTCTCCACCCAAAAAGTCATTTAGCCTCTCTGTGGATTCTTTAAAAATGCAACCTGTGTCATTCACTTACTAACCTTAACTCTGTTAACTCCTTTGTTATTCCCAAACTCTCTGTTAACTGCTTTGTTATCCCCTAAAATTTTGAAGAAAAAAATTTTCCAAGAAACAACGAGTACTGGAACTTATCACGACCATGATTGCATTAGAGTTGTCGACCGGCTTCTCCTACGAGTTCTCAAAGGATTCATAAGGCGGGGTGTCGAGCAGGTCAAGGGCTTCAAATCTGATTTACATAACTGAATCGCTTACTTTTTCATTATATATATGTTATTTACAGGATGTACAAAATTTTTTGAGGCCCCTCTAAAGTGAGGGTCCTGGACGGGCACCTACATAGACTACCCTCAAGGCTGGCCCTGAGTACATATCATTGCCTATTTTGCAACCACAGGTGGATATAAGCATGGATATTGTTTTGGGTTTGCGTCACACTCAGCATGGTGTAGACTCAATTTTGGTGGGGTCAATTGATTTTCTAAAATAGCTCACTTTATTTGCCTGTAAGAAGACAACAGATGCTTCGAAAGTTGCTGAGCTATTCTTTCATAGTGCCGACTTCATGAATTACTGAGTTCAATTGTTTCTGATCAAGACACAAGTTTTGGAGTCATTTTTAGAGAAGCATGTGGAGATTAGCTAAACTCATATGAACTTCAGCGGTACCTATCATCCTCAAATTGACGGGCAAACTGAAGTTGTAAATCGGTTATTGAGAGATCTTTTTGTGACATCCCACATTGCCCAGGGGTGATCCTTAAATGTATATTCCCATCCCTACCTAGCACGAGGCCTTTTGGGAGCTCACTGGCTTCAGGTTCCGTAGGAACTCCGAAGTTAAGCGAGAAGGGGGCTAGAGCAATCCCATCGGGATGTGACATTTGGTATCAGAGCCTAACCCTGGTCGTGGTGTGCCGACGTGGACGTCGGGCCCCTAAGGGGGGTGGATTGTGACATCCCACATCGCCGAGGGGTGATCCTTAAATGTATATTCTCATCCCTACCTAGCACGAGGCCTTTTGGGAGCTCACTGACTTCGGCTTCCGTAGGAACTCCGAAGTTAAGCGAGAAGGGGGCTAGAGCAATCCCATGATGGGTGACCCACTGGGAAGTTGCTCGTGAGTTCCCAAAAACAAAACCGTGAGGGAATGGTAAGCCCAAAGCGAACAATATCGTGCTACGGTGGTGGAGCGGGCCGGGGAAGTGGTCCGCCCCGGGTCAGGATGTGACACTTTTGCTTTGCTAAGGATTAGTTTGGAATTGTTGTGCTTTTTTAAAAACTGCTTCTACTGTATCTTAAGAATAATCAGTTGCAAAATAAAACTATTGAACATTTGATAAACCGTATTATTTACAATGTTATGATTATGAAAAGTAGTGTAAAAGTGTTTGATATATTTTAAGGAAAACTAATAAAAAGGACTTTAAAACTTTATTAAGTTTTAATGATAAAGACAAAATAAAGGGTAAAGTGAATAGTACCAGGGTTGACTTTTTAGTGTAAAAATGTGGTTTTTCGTTAAAATGAACAGTATCAGGAGCTTTTCGTTAAAGTTTCCTATATTTTAATGTAAAGTGATATAATTGTATATAATAACAAAAATGAACATGATTGTGTGGAGATGACGACGAGAACGATGGCGAGGACAATGGTTGTGATGGTGGTAGTGATGCCACTAAAAGGGTGTGGTGTTTGGCTGAAAAGGTAACAATAGTGGTAGGGGTGACGACAACAACGATGGTGGCGGTTGTGGTTGTAGTTGCAGAGTTAGCCTACAGTCGTTTTGTCAATTGTAGCATTAGACAGTGTCCCTTCTATATTGTCTATGGCGTAATTCCGCGAGCACCAATTGATCTTTCTCTTGTCCCAAACACGAAAAGAATTAGTGGCAACGTTAAAAATTTTGTTGACAATGTCAAGCAAGTCCATAGCATGACTCACAAGAACCTTCTCAAAACAAGTCAAAAATACAAAGCTCATGCAGATTCCCAATTCTTATTTTAATTTTGTTGTCTTTTCAGTTTTTGAATGTATGTTACAAAGTGACTGTAAAACCCAATTCTTGCTAGAATGTGGGGGCATATAATGAAATATTGAAAGAGTTTTCTATGTCATTTTAGTGCCTTTCTCTTATGAGATTGCTCGACCTTTATTTTGTGTTTTTAGGTATTTCCTCACAGTAGGAGATACTATATCCTATTTCTTTTCTCTGTCACCCTACATCAATCGCCCACACAGAAAGACGAAGAAGTAAGGCTGCAAACATATTAATACCATTGTATTGACCTCATAAATTGGTGAAAGGTGAAATAGTCCACCTTATGCCTTGGGCGAAATACACGTGCTACAATGGCTGGGACAGAGTGTTACGATCCCGCGAGGGTGAGCTAACTACAAAAACCTGTCCTCAATAGCCAGAATCGCTAGTAATCGCTAGTCAGCCTATGACGATGAATTTGTCTAGGGCCTTGTACACACAACCCGGCACACTATGGGAGCTGGCCATGCCCAAAGTCAGTTCAAATCTTCTGCACCCAAAAAGTCATTTAGCCTCTTTGTGGATTCACTTACTATAACCTTAACTCTGTTAACTCCTTTGTCATTCCTAATCTCTCTGTTAACTCCTTTGTTATCTCCTAAAATTTTGAAGCAAAAAAAATCCAAGAAACGAGCGACGAGTACCGGTGAACTTGTCACGACCATGATTGCATTGGAGTTGTCGACCGGCTTCTCCTACGATTTCTCGAAGGAGTCGTAAGGCGGGGTGTTGAAGGCTTCGAATCGGATTGTGGAGTGGAATTAGAAGGGCGAGTCGGCGTATGCTGAGTCGTCGGAGTTCAAAGACTAGGACTGTTTCATGTTGGAAATGGATTCCTGGGGAAGGTTATCGGGTTTTTGGGATTGGGGTCAGGATTTCTTTTGGCAGATATAAAAGTTTTCCGAGAGTTTGTTGGAGTGGGAAAAAGAGTGTTTGGAAATTGGGAAAATGAGAGAAAGTGAGAACAGAAGTGATGATTGGGAATAGGCGAAGCTATAGAGGGACAGGGAGTGGTGGCCGTCCTTTCCCTCGCTGGAAATCAAGCCTTGAGGTGAGATTCCACCCCTCTGCTTATTGCTACTGCTGCTTTGCTGTGCACTGTTGCGGCGCTGCGCTGGGTTGCGATGGGCAGCAAATCACCCTTCTTTTTAAGAAACCCAGGTCAAACGACGTGGTTTTGGACCTGGAATGAAAAAAGAAGTTAAATGAAACGGTTCGTTTCGTTAAAACGAAGAACAAAACAACAAGGGACCCACTAGGAGCCTAACTAAAAAGAGTTTGTACAGATAATATACGTTTTTTTTAAATACATACGATATTATCTAAACTAAAAGGTGTGAGAATGTAATATATATACACGGATGTGAAAAAAAAAATGTTTCCTCTTGTAATATGATTCGACTTGTTGTATTATTAGAATGTTAATCACAGCTGAACTATTAATTGTCTATGTAATCTTTATTTGAGCTTGGATTTGTCTAAAATAATAACACAATGTGCCATACGCCATTATGGTTTTTTTTTTTTTTTGAACAAACGACATTATCTAGTTAAAAAAAAAATTGTCACTTGAAGTGGTCTCATGGAGCTCATTCCTTTCAATTGTAAATCAACCATCTCAAAGAAGTTGTGAATTTAAGCTTGTGGGAGTTACAACTTCTTATTTGAAGAGGCTGTGACTAGAAAAATAACAGGAAAATAGTGACGTCTTAATAAAAGTTAGTCATTAAGGTGGGATATATTAAGTAATTCCCCTCACTAGTAAATGTTGGAGAATCCGTACACTTTCATTGAAATGGTAGATTAATGATTGCGTAATAGTATAGTTGTTGATATTGAGAGATATATCTTTGTTTTTATTGATAATGAGCTTATTATATGATGTTTTCATAACATAAAACATCGTCATCAACTATTATAACTTATTTGTATTGATAAATTAATAACGACATTAATATTGTTTACCGTCTAAAAGGATTTGGTTGTTTACATTTGTTTGAGAACATTTACCTTTCGAAAGTTAGTCCCTCCTCCCAACAAATCCTGGCTTCGCCACTGGGATCGCATTGTGATGGTTGGATTTCTGGGATTGGGGTTGGGATTCATTTTGGGGTATAAAATTTCTCGGGAGTTTGATGGAGTGGGAAAAAGAGTGTTTGGGAACTGAGAAAGTGAGACAAAGTGGAGTGAGCAGATAAGTGATGAGTGGGACTTCGAATTCTCCACGTTGGAGTTTGTTTCTTGAATTTTTTTTTTTTTAAAAAAAAAAAAAAATTAAGAGATAATAAGGTGTTAATAGAGGTTTTGGGCCAAGGAGTTAATCGAGTTAAGGTTAGTAATTGAATGGACACGTGTTGCATTTTGAAGGAAGCCACATATAGGTCAAATAGCTTTTTGGGTATATAATATTTGAAGAGAGAATATCTTCCTCACCTTTTGGAGAGAAGGGATCTTTTGGTTTTTAAATAAAACCAAACCAATTAGGTTTGGTACGGATTCGATTCGGTTCACGGTACTTTTGGCCCAGACCTTTTGGAGAGAAGGGATCTTTTGATATAGGCAAGACTTTCCATGACCACGACTTTTTGCGGTTGAATCAGATACTTCCCTCCATAATTCATCCTGTCCAAAACTGCTTCTGTATAGTGGATCTCAGCTGTGGAGGATTAACGCACTGAACCGCTGACTTGGAGATGGTGAAGATGATGCGGGCAACGGTTGCTGCGTCTTCTTCTTTGAAGGTTGGTTATGGCAACACCACCGGCAGACTCAGACTCAGAGGTATGCCGCCTTGTCTTCTTCAATCTTCTACTGCTGTTGTTTTCTTAAACAATTACTTGGCTTTGTTTCACTCTCCGTCTTCCAAATCGACCGAATCTAGAAACACCCAACAACACCATCTTGTTGAAATCACTAATGTCGAAGATGCTCTCAATGTGTTCGACGAAATGCTTCAAAGTTGTCCTCTGCCTTCCGTTGTCCCTTTCAACCAAGTCTTGACTCAACTTGCCAAGTTGAAACATTACTCGGCAGTCATCTCCTTGAATAACCAAATGGTTGTGTCCGGAATTCGTCCTGATGTTTATACTCTGAACATTATCATTAACTGCTTTTGTCGTTTGCACCAAACGGGGTTTGGTTTGTCAGTCTTGGGAAACTTCTTCAAATTGGGTTTTGAACCAAATGTCGCAACCTTAAATATTCTAATCAACGGCTTTATTCTCCGTAATAGAGTGGCTGAGGCAGCAGCACTTTTCAAAAAAATGTTGGACAGTGGTAATTCTAAGCCGAATGTGGTTACTTTCGGTACCCTAGTAAAGGGTCTTTGCACAAAAGGTAACAACACTGCAGCAATCCAATTGCTTAAGAAGATGGAAGAAGGGGCTTGCAAGCCTAACATAGTTATTTATAGCACGATTATCGACAGTCTTTGCAAAGATACTCTAGTTGTGGATGCACTGAACCTCTTCTCAGAAATGAAGAGTAAGGGTATTGCCCCAGATGTCTTGACCTATAACTCTTTGATTCTTGGAGTTTGCAAATTACAGGATTGGAAAGAAACTACAAGATTGTTGAATGAAATGGTGAGTAAACATATCTTTCCAAATGTGTACACCTTTAATGTCTTGGTTGATACATTTTGTAAAGAGGGAATGGTCCAAGAAGCAAGGAGCGTGATCGAAATGATGATTCAAAGAGGTATCGAACCTGATACGATTACTTACAATTCGTTTATGGATGGGTATTGTTTGCGAGGAGAAATGGACGAGGCGAAAAAGGTTTTTGAAGAGATATTTAGCACAGGATGCATGGTCAATGCTCGTAGTTATAGCATATTGATAAACGGCTATTGTAAGCTTAAAAGGATAGATGATGCCCGGATACTTTTTCTGGAAATGTCTCAAAGGGGAATTGTTCCAAATATGGTTATTTATAACACTCTTATAGATGGGTTTTGCAAGATGGGAAAACTACAAGATGCACATAACTTGTTCTCTCAAATGCAAGCTTTAGGCCAACTTCCAAATACTCAAACTTATTCTATTTTACTGGATGGCCTTTGTAAAAACCAACAATTTCCCGAGGCAGTTGAATTGTTGGACGAGATGGAGGAAAAGAAGTTGGATTTTAATATTGTAACTTACAATATTCTTATTCAAGGTTTGTGCAGAGCTGAAAAAGTTGAATATGCATGGGATCTCTTTCGGAGTTTGTCATCGAAAGGAGTTCAACCTGATGTCAGGTCATATAATATAATGATTAGTGGATTTTGTAATGGGGGGCTAACATGTAAGGCAGAAAACTTGCTAAGGGAAATGGAAGAGAGAGGTCGTTCTCCAAATGGTTGCACGTACAACACAATTATCCGAGGGTTTTTCAATAACAACGACATATCAAGGGCGGTGAGGCTTATTCAAGAAATGGTGGAGAGGGGTTTTTCTTTAGATGCATCAACTGCGAAGTTGATCGTTAATTTATTGTCTGAAGATGAAGTAGATCTTGCTTTGTTGGCATTTATAGAAAGTCCGCAATGAAACTGATTTGCATCTCTGCAGTTTAGACAAGTTTGGGGGCTTCCTTCCCTTGAATGTTGCATTGGAGAGTGTTGTTCCACGGCTGAGTCGAATTCAGGTAACCATTCATTCGTGTATCGCCTAGTGATGTATGATATCTGTAGCAATTCAAAATCTTTACAAAAGTAACAGAATCAACGAAATACAAACTTTCATTTGCTTCCTGCAACCACTCGTCAAGTAAAATACTCAAACATGCAGCCAATTAGAACCCAACAACTCCCAAAAGCACAATGAGTGATCATATTACGTACATAAATTTATTGTAGCAAAGCTTGTATTGGTGTTGTTTTGGTGTAACGTATCATTCTTATGCATGAGGATCAAGAAAGCAGTTGAGATTACTCTCGACACACGTGCTTATGCGTGACGTATTTTGAACTTAATACACACGTAAATTGTTTAGTTAACGTATATAATCTGCTCTGATATATTGGGCGAATAGGATGGACAACTGCTTGCTTCGAGAATCTCTCTTTGAAAAGAACAAAAGGATCGTAAGAAGCCATTTAAATTACATGTAAAATTTGTTAGTTCACATGTAACAAGTCAAATATTTTTCTAAAGAAATCAACTCAGCCTCAAGTTTTCCAAATTCCACTATTGAATAATGAGTTTATCGTACTTGGCCATAAAAAGATTGAGTTTACTGTCATACCATTTATGTACAATCTGGTAATAAAAAATGAGAATTATTATGGGAATTGCTATTTTAACTTATCAACTTGCACTTTATTAAGACTCATTTAGAAGTGCTTTTAAATAATTAAAACCATTTTTTTTAAACAAACAAAATGTTCCAAGGTTCCAAAAATACTTCAATTGCTTTTTCACGATTCACTTGTATTTTCACTAAAAATTGGTTTCAAAATTATTTTCACAAAAGTGTTTCTAGCCATCTTAAAAGCAGTCCCTAAATCATCAATACAACATTTTTAAATTCTCAATAACATCTCTTACGAAACAATGTCTAACGTCTTTGAAAAAATTCGCGAAGCCAGTGAAATCTTAAAGTGTTTTTATTTATAAGAAGACTGATTGATTCTTAAATATTCTTAAGGGGAAATGAGATTTTTAATGATTGGAAATGAAGAACAAGCAAAAAAATAAACCAATTGAGGAAGAAAATTGGAAGAATTGGAAATGTTTGGCCCTTTCAGCATGAACATGACCTCTTAACACTGATTTTTTTTATATCATACGTCAAAAGTGTAAAAGTGGATAATCACATTTTGAGAAGTTTAGTACTGAATTATCGTGCTTTAATGCACAAAAGTTGATTTTGTGAAATTCGTCATAACTACCGTGAAAGGAATTTCATTGTTGATAATTTGGTTTGTTTGGGTTCAGATTTTTTTTTAGCAAGCTCTACCTTCTTGTCTTGGCTTACTAGTTGCATATATAGTTGAGGTCTCGTGGCCTCGTGATATTCTTGTATAATCTTTCCTTATCCTTCAGGATTATGCCCTATTGTCAACAAAAAAAAAAAAGGTGCATTTGTGTGTGTATGATGAATTGATTTTATATTATATATTTTACCCTATTTTTTGTATATTTTGGTGAAATTTTTATACTTTGATTTATTATTCCAATGTATGACTTGTGACTTCCTCTTGAGAAAAAGTGATCAAATAGACAAATTTAGGAGTAATTGGTAAAACTACATAAAATTGTTTAGGTGACGGCTGAACCTAAGTGTCTCATTACTCATATTTTATCAAACTAGTGTGTTGTTACAATTTGTTTTCCAAATTTTTTAGGAAAATACCCCAAAATAGGACAATTTCTTAATCTTGGGACATAAATAGGATAAACCGGCCATGCACAAGCTATGCACACCATGCACAAAACCGAAATTACTAAAATACCCACATATAAATGGGTTATTCCTCACTCTCTCCCCCATTTTCTGATTTCTCTCTTTCTCTACTCTCTCACCCTTCCTTTCTCTCTCTCTCTCTCTCTCTCTCTTCTCTCACCTTCTCTCTCTCTCTACTCTCTACTCTCTCCCTTCCTCAGATCTCTGAGCTTCGATTTTGAAGAGATGAAAGTCCAAAGAGAGGTGAGAAGAGTGAGCTGGGCTTTGGGTTCACCTCATACCTCTAATTTCGAACAAAGGGATGCGAGAGAGAGGTAAGAAGAGTGAGCTGGGTTTTGTACCATATTTTCTGTTTTGGCTAGAAAGTTCCATTTTTTCAAGCAACTGAAGCTTCAACAGGTATAGCAAGGTAGGGTATTTTGTTCCAAGTTCCGTCATCAATGATTTATGGAATAAATGGGTTGTTTGTAACATGAATTAATACTTAGAAGTTAAATTAGGGTTTGTGTTTCATGTTCGGGCATATGGGTTGTGGAATAAATTTCAAGTTTTGACATGCTACAAGATTGGGATGGAACAATTTCTGGTTCAAGTGTCAAATTGTAGAAATTTGTGAAATATTTTTTTGTAATGTGCATGTGGTGTGCATGGCTACATCTTAATATGAGAAGCGGGAATGCTCACTAGTTAATTATGATGCACGTATGTTGTGCCTCAAAATTTAGCAAGTATGACCACAACCTAGTTGGCCTCGGCTAAAAACAAAATTAAGAAAAAACTTAAAGGACGTTAAGGATCATGCGTGTCTGTGAAATAACGACAACGAGTATCATGTTTTCCACGTGCACGGTTAAGCGGTGGTTGATATACGTAACGAGACTTTTCAAACTGTCATTGTAATCTTATATACATAACAATTATGTTTTCATTGTAGGGGAAACTTGAAATAGGTCCAATTTTATAGCCCAACATTAGGATTAGTCCAATTTTTAGTTAGTTTTGACTTAGCTCCAATGACTAGGATTCCATGTCAGCAATTTTTCTGATTAGGTTGATTTTTTTTGCATTGTTATTACTATTTTACCCTCCTGTAGATTTTGCACGTTCTCCATATATTTCCCACGTTTTAAATTTTTATCAGAGTTCAAATTCATTGTTCAGTGGTCTTTCATCTTTCTCCTAGATTTCTTGATAACAATTTTTGAATTTGAATTTCTTATCAATCTATTTTTAAGGAAGGCTTAATCACTTTTAACTTTCTAGTAACTTTCTATACAAATTACATGTGTTTATACGTGCAGATTTCTTCAGAAGACCTATTCTCTAGGTACAATTTTTATGACCGTGTTTTTCCTTCGTGGTTTGTCGATACTCAACCTTCTCCATCTATCAAAGGACTAAAACACAGCAGATTGAATGCCAATTAGCTTTCAAGTCAGGTATATTATAATTGTTTTCCACTTTATTGTTGTTTGCTGTGCGAATTCAAACATGAAGACTTTATCCTAATCCTCCTAATCCCTTTCTATCATCTCTCATTGATATGCTTCCTTCTCTTTTTATTTAAAAAAAAAAAAAAAAAAAAAAAAAAAAAAAAAAACCAATGCATAGAAGGTGTTTGATGTTATGCCTCTTTGAAAAGTGTACTCTTTAATTTCCGGTAGAAATTTATTGTTCTCTTATTGTCACTATCATAGCAAAAGGAAGAAATTCATTGTGATTGGAGTTGTTTCAACATTATTCCTCATTTTCTTGATTTTGGGCATTCTTTGGTGGAAAGGTTGTTTACTTGAAGCTGTTTCCACCGTTTTTCCAGAAGCACCACATGCATTTTGCATATTTCATTTGAAATTGAATATACAAAGTAAATATCCAAAGCAGATGGGTTCTAGTTATGGTGAAGTCGTTGCTAACCTGTTCCAAAATGTTGTTACGCTCCATCCCAACTTGTGTTCGATCAGGAAATGAAAACTCTCATCAAGGATGGTGGTACAATAATTCAGAAATTTTTGCATAACACACCTAAAGAAAACTGGTCCAATGCATACTTCAGGGGGAAAAAAATATGGTGAGATGTGCTCTAATATTGTAGAATCCTTCAATTCTTGGATTTTGGATGAACGCAAGATGCCAACTTACCAAATGATTGATAACATACGTGTGAAGTTGATGGAGATGAGTTCTGATAGGCAACGTGAAGCCGAAAGATGGACCTCACCAATATGCCCAACAATGGATGACGAAATGATGAAAATGGTTGAAGTTGGAAGACATTGGAATGTGTGTCGTTCAAGTGAACATATTTTTGAAGTCAGAGATGAGTATTCTGTCATGGTGGACTTACAAAGTCATAATTGTTCTTGTTATCAATGGCAAATTAAAGGGTTCCCTTGTGCACATGCTTTGGCAGCTTTTTTGAAAGTTGGAGGTAACCCATATGATTATGTCGAAGATTATTTCACAACAGATTTCTATAAGTCTTCTTATTCATATCCCATTATTCTTGTACCTGATATTGAAAAGGATGAACAATCTATGAGTCAGGAGTTTGTGATAGAACCCCCATTGACAAAGAGGCCCCCAGGTAGACCAAAAGTTAAAAGACTAAAATCTATTGGGGAAGAAACATGCCCCAACAAGTGCAGTAGGTCTGGTGATGCTACACGCCACAATCGGAAAACTTGCAACGCCCCTATTTGACATACATCTCCATTGCCATTTGGAATATATTTTTTTTTTCAAATATATGAACACATGTTTTTTTTTATTTTTTATTTATTTATTATTTTTTTTATCAATGTAATAAAATGATGCCTTCGACTTTTTAGTTTACTCATATTCTTCTTTTTTCCATTATCTACTTACATGTCATATGACTTATGCAATCTGTGAAGACTATATATTTATTATGCTATCATTGTAGAATATGACTTTTACATTCACCATTAGTTGTACAGATATATTATTGTTTGGGACGGTTTTAAACTACCTAAGATGTAGGAAAATTACCGACATCCATTTTTTACCAACAATTTGAAAGTACCTATCCTTATACAATTAGAAAGTATATTTACGAACTATGCCCAGATAATGACAAAATAACATTATATGAGATTACAAACAAATCTTATTGTGCAATCAATAAAGGGAAACATGAAGAATATCCCCTTTCAATTGAAATTGAAATTAAAAAATAGATACAACAAAGCATATCTCAGTTCACATAACACCCAAACTTACAATACCAGTTCTCCAGGTATACCGGGAAGCCAGAATCAGATCTTCGCTTATTCTGTTTTCATCATATACTGGGAGAAAATTTATAGCTTTCATAGCTTCATACGGATTTAGGATTCAAAACAAAGTTTCCGCTGGACACGGACGCAAACAAATTTGAAAGATGGGAGGATAAGGTTTTTGAATAAACAAAGAGATTAATCTGCAAGAGACCTAATAAAGGGGTCTAATGACAATTGTTGTAATTTTGTTGGTAAATTATGTGCATTTTAATTGCTGACATGGATGATTGTTGTACTTACTAGCCCCCACTTATGCTTATGTAATATAAGTGGATTCCATTCAAAACAGGCTTATAAAATTGGACCCATATCAAA